GTCGATTGATGGTGGTTGGATTCGTGGTTCAGATACTGTCCCGTATGAGTGGGTTTTCGGTATACAGATGTTTCCCACTTAGTGTCGGTCCTCTTCACCAAAACGTCTAAGAATGGCAATTCATTGTGGATTTCCTTCTCCATTGTGAAAGTGATGGAAGGTCTCACGCTGTTGATGTGTTTCAGAAAGGCGTCTAGTTCAGTATTCCCATGGTTCCATATTATGAAGGTGTCGTCAACATATCTCAACCAGACTCGTGGTTTCTTGTGGGCTTCTTCAATGGCCAGAGTTTCAAACCACTCCATATATATGTTGGCTATGACTGGTGAAAATGGCGATCCCATTGGTAGTACCTCATGTTGTGTAAAGAATTCGTCCTTCAGTCGGAAATAACAGTTTCGTACACAGAATCCTAGCAGTTCTATAATCACTTCTATAGGTAAAATCATTCTATCTTTCTGGTTACCGTCTTCGGACACCTTCCTCTGTATGATTGGAGTGCTTCTTCGACCGGAACGTTGGTTTAAAGGCTTTACACGTCGAAACTGATTAGTTGATCTTCATGTGTGACTTCAATTGCCCCTAGTAGTTTGAAAAATGTTTTGAATTCTTCACAATAGACGATGGTTTTCCTTGTAATGGTTGAATTATGGAAAGTGAAAATCTAGGCAAGTTTCAAGTAGCCGAATCTAATTGTCTAGATTTTTATTTTTTTGTAGTTTTGTACAATTTGTTCCATTTTTTACTTGTAATTTGCTTCACTATTATTCCATTTCAGATTTTTTTTGCTCAATATAATTATTATTTTCGGCTATTCGTTAATAATCTTCTTCTTCAATTTTCCACTTCTTTTTTAGTTCTTTCATGGATTTCAAATCATTTTATATAATATCAGACAATATAAGTCCGAACTAATACTACAATAGTACTAGTCAAGCCCTGTCATTTCATACCCTTATCAGATAATTCAGAAAACACTTGCTACATGGATAGCATTTTACAAGTGTTGTTCATGACGAAGAATTTCAAGAACGAGGTTTTTACGATGAACGAGAATGTTTCCTACAATGGATCCTCATTCTAGTTTTGGCCTCACCAGTGTAAGCATATTTTGAAATTCTCACAGTTTCTTATGATAAAACCCTATGTACGGTAAACTGAGTCGATGAATTGAATGATGTGGTAGTTGAAAGTCACTTGTTTAACAAAATTGAGTTCCCTAACTCCTGATATTATCAGTTCTCTTCAACTGAATGTTATCAACGTGGTAAGAAAATTACAGTGTAATTAAATTTCAACTGAATGTCACAATTTTACATTGGATTCATTCGAATGGAGGCGGTTCTTGGAACACGGAAAAATCAATGTGCTTTTGCAGAAAGTTGCAGTCATCTGAACTGTTTACAGATGTATTCAGTTTCGAATCATCAGCAAACATCAATCTTCTGCAGTTCAATGAGCTTCACATATCGTTAATAAATAAACAAAAGACAATAATGGAACAAGATTATATTCTTGCGGGACTCCGCTAGTAGCGAAATACATATTTGAAGAAGAGCCGTGATAATATATCTGATCGCGTTCAGTAAGGAATGATTCCAAAAGATGGCAATGAATTTTATTAAAACCCAGGCAAGAGAGCTTGCGGATGAGTAATTTATGACTGCTCGTATCGAATGCTGTAGACAAGTCTGTGTACATCACATTGACTTGCCCTCTACTGTCTAACGATTCACATAAATATCGAACAAAAACAGCTATATTACTGATAGTGGATCAGGTATTTTGAAACCATGGTAATGATTGGATATCATATATCGAGAGGACCAGTAGATTCGATTATACTCGATTGTTTCTAGACGTTTGGCAAACTTATTGGGGATTGAGATGGGTGTGTAACTACTGATTTAATTTCGATTTTGAGCTTAATGTGTTAGACCAACTCAGCAGTTTTCCAAATTTCAGAAAAAAAAAGAACGTTTTCGAGAAAAGGTTTAAAATAATTTGTAGGAGGTTAATTGATATTCTCAGGCACTCTTTCGAAAGAAATGAAGGAATTTCGTCTGAACCTAGCTTCTAATATTTCCATATAATATGTTACTGGTTCCACACTAACATATATAAAAATGTTCTCAAGGATAAAACATAAGCACTGCAAAAAAATCCTTGAGGTGCTCTAAGAGCGGTGTCTGTGCGGAAATAGCCATTCACTTTGGATTTGAATCGTTGAGAAAACGTTCTCAGGAAGTTTATTCCACATAAACGCAGTTCTCCGAATGAAAGAGTTTTTAAACAGTGGAGTTTGAGGTGTACTGAGTTGAAGCTCAAATCGACGAGGAGCAACAGCCCGTCGCGTATTTCTGCTATGTATCGCTCTTGATATAATCAAATGTGCCAAGTCACTTGAAACCCTTCCGTGAGAGAAGATAGACAAATCTCCAACCTTTTTTTGATGTTCCAGGTCGGTAGCAGGTCGGTTGTGTGAGTCGGAGGTTCAAGCCGCAGGCTAAACGTTCGATTCTCATTGGCTATCGTCCAATACGTGTTAGGAATCACACGTTAAAAGGTGATACCTTGAAGTCCTTAGCATCCACGAGTTTTGATTTCTGAGGGTTGTCGTTTGAGGGGTGCAACAACTGTTTAACGGAAAACAATTTTTTGAACATATTTCAAATATCAAGTTGCAAAATATGTTTGTGTCTCCAGTCAGTCTGATGGCTTTTTTCTGGTTGAAATCCAGCAGCTACAGGGTATGCTCAGAGGTGGAACTCCATACATGGGAACATTACTTCAAAGATGATCTTATTTGAGATTCATAAAACATCAAAAGTTGCAGAGGTATGTACAGTTTTCTGGTTCGGAACAGTCTTCCAAGCTTTTGAGAAACAGCCTATACAATTCCAGCGACATGATTGTGCCAAGACATATTATTGGTGTCAATTTTAAGCACAAGCAAACTAATCGAAGCAGAAAATGGAATTGTCTGTTCTGACATTATTATATCTGGTTGAGAGACATTTATCTTTCTGTAAAAAAAATATGCCTGGGTTTTCGTGGAAATGAATTGAAACTTGTTACTTTAACCCCAATTCGAAATCACCTCTATATCTTCATTGAGCAGCCGAAGTCCTGAAATCCAAATGGAATGACAAAACAGGTGTGATATCGTCAGCAAATCAATATTTTGGATTCTTGTTTTTATCCAATAAGTTGTTGGAATACAATAAAAAAAGACATTATGGATCCCTGGGGAACACCAGCGTTGATGATAAAAGTATTCGAGAGATATCCATCGACGTCTACTTGCAGGAAACGTTCTGTCACTTGTATTTCATCTCACTATTATTCCATTTCAGGTTTTTTCGTCTAATATAATTGTTATTTTCAGCTATTCTTTTTTAATTCGTCTTTTTTATGTTCTTTCAGCGATTTCAAATCATTTTATGTAATATGTAAGTCTGAACTAATGAAATTCATCATGAAACATTGTCAATCACTCCCAAACAAACAATCGATAGTTATTTATCACCAAATTCAACACTTTGTTATATTCATCCAAAACGCGGTTACATACCGCGTTTTGAATGAATATACCGAAAAATGAAAATAAATCTATGATTGTGAAAGTTCTTCTAGCATCCTTAACACCAACAATGAAGTTTGTGCACTTGAAATATTTTTCACTCTAAAAGAGTAACGAAAGAAATATAATTTTTGGGAAAGAAAGGTTTACGCTTTCTACTTCTCAATAATTATACAATCAACGTAGAAACCATCCAAAGAGAGGAAGAAAGCAATTGATTCAAAACCAAACTTTTTACAAAGATGCAGAGAAGTAACTTTCAGACACAAACTGAAAATAAACGTCCTCTTAAACAACTACTTTCATATAAACATTGAATTACACGAAAAAAAAAAAATACTTTCGTTACAATTATTATTATATGAACATTGAATAATACAAAAGACACTTTTTTCTATTCAGTTTGTATTCCAAACATTCGTTGTGGAATTGTATCAGATATCATTCACAGACTAGCTATACAATATAATATGTGATAGAGGGGAACATTTCATTTGTATGAAACACTGTCATTGCCAATGGTGGATATTCGCTGTTTCGGAAAAATACTCATGTCTTAACATTAAAAGATGAAGCACTCAGTTCATCCAGTTTGTGTCTGAAAGTTACTTATTTGCATGATCTACACATCTTTGTGAAGAGTTAATTCCTAAAATGAATGCTTTCTTGCTTTCTTAGGAAGATTCCCATATTTTTCTGACGATGATGGAGAAGTAGAAATCCAAAACCATACTTTCTCAAGAATCGATCTCTTCCAATAACATACCTTTTTCAGTTAAAAAATATACATGATTTGTTTGATAGATACTGATTTTTTATTTATATTAGGGAATTTATTTTCTCCCTATTTGAATTTCAATTCAATTTCAATTATTCATGGAGTTAATGCATTTCTTGAAAGTCTTCAGAATAAACCGTGCAAGGTTTCACGAAATTATTACTATTGTTATCAGTTTGCACATTCGCTATCTAGCTAGCTTTCACCAACCAATTGGTTCCTAGGTATTTAATTTGAATTTTTATCAATGAAACGATGAGGGAAAATCAAAAGTTGTTGAAGAAACACATGCTGAAATGATTATTTATCATATATTCGAATATATATAATGACTTCACATTTCATGTTATTGATACATTTCATTCAAGTCACACATTCTTTTGCTTTGGTATTTATGTCGATGAGTACATCGCTGAGTTGTTTCTTCAAATTATTGAGGCCACAGTCAAATTGTAAGCATCCCTTCGGAGTAATTTTCTCGATAACTTCTTTTTGTTTGTAGTAAACGTTTACGTGGTAGGTTCCAAGGAAAGATTTCCACAACTCAAAGTAGATGGTGCTTGCGAAGTATGGGACGTGAGGTTCATAATATGCACCTAAAGCCGAGAGTATTTGAGCAATGTTGATGTCGTGAGCGCTGTACATCCTGAAGAATTGAGCACTGGAAGAATTGTTCCGCATTTTTTCGAAATGTTCTATAACTTCGTTGAGGAATGTTCCAGCACCTGAAATATGATAAAGAGCGAAACCAAAATTATTCTGATATAAATGAAAGAATGGAGAATAAAAAATAATTTTGAGAGTGAAACCCTATCATCTTTCTTCTGAAACTTTCATTCGAATTAAGTTATCAGAAAAAGTTGATGAAGTTGATGAATTATTGGAATGAAATCAATTGTTCTATACCAAATAACTATGTTCAAAGAATGATCATGTGGAAATATGAAAATTGAAGGTGGAAAAAGCAAACTTCACTAAAACTCTGAAGTGGAAATATTACAAAATGGAATTTAAGATTACTGATCATGAAGAAATAATGAGATCAACAAAAATATATCAGGGGAATTCCATATTGGAACTTATTTTAGAAAAAAATCTTTTGGGTTCCATCTCCATATGGGTTAGAAGAAGGAAGAAAAATGCGTAGAATGAACTTCATGAAGATATGTAAATCATGCCTTGAAGTTTCTTTCAGTAAGAAACTGGAACAAAAAACTTTTTCGAAACAATTACTTTTTCCCATTCAGTAGAAACTGAAAGAGAATGAGAAGTTTTTGTCCGATTTGATGTCACGTTTTTTTGTAGCTTCATATCTCATGAATATTCATCCATGTGCCATGTTATACACTATACATTTGCCAACGACAATGTTGATGAACACGCTGTTCCAGGTTGGTTGGCGAAATTTTGCTCAGGAGATTTCAGCCTCGAAGATGAGCGCCGAAGTTACCGACAAATAGTAATCTAGGACAAGGATCCGAGGGCCCTGGTGGAGACTGATGGGTCAGTCTCCAAATGGTGGGTGGAATGGCGACAAAACTGGGCGGTAGCTTCCATGCGGTTTTTGATGATTTGAAACGTGTTGGTGAGGTCAAAAAGTTCGAAAAGTGGGTGCCCCACGATTTGAGCGATCGACAGAAATGGTCACGTTTCGAAGTCTGTTCTCTTTTGCTCTTCCGCAACTGAAAGGATCATTTTATGTATCGAATCAGGACAGTGGTTGGATACAAATAAGACATCTGGGCACTTACCAGAGTTGAAAACCCATCAAAAAATACCATGGTTACCGTATGGTGGTCAGAGGCTGGTGTGATTCACTATTACTTCCTGCAACCGGGCCAAACCATCACAGCAGAGACATATTGTGAGGAAATCGACGAAATGTACCGAGCATTGCGTCAGCAGCAGCCGACAATAGTTAACAGACGATGTCCGATTCTGCTTCACGACAACGTTTCACAAATCACCGTAAGAAAGTCGAACGCATTGAGATTCAAATTTCTACCCCCCAGCATACCTCCCAAACCGCCCGCCAATTGTCTACTACTTTTTCAAGCACTTCAATGAATTTTCCACCGGTGGAACCAACGCCGATCAGGAGAAGTCGAAAATGGCCTTCGTCGATTTCATCGAAACACGAGCACACAATTTCCATGATGACAGAATTAGTCGACTCGCGTTACGTTGGCAAGAATACACGGTTTTGAATGTCACCTGATTCGTTCAAATTGAATAAATATTAACTGCGATATTACAGTTTGAAGTTGATTCATAAAACGGACGAAACTTTTTAAACAATCCAGTACTACAGTCATGTATTGATAGATGTCGTGAAAAGTCTTTGAAATGGAGTGAGGAATCATGATTAGTTCAAATCAAAACACACTCCAAATCACATATCATGCTATCGAGAATTCCAAAATAAGACAAAACCCAGAAACAAGGGTTGACGCTTTCGATTTTTTCACACATTCAGAACAACTCTCAGTAGTATTCTTTATGAATTATTGGAATGAAATCAATTGTTCTATACGAAATAACTATGTTCAAGGAATGATCATGTGGAAATATGAAAAAACTTTAACTGAAAGTGTAAAGTGGAAATGTAACAAAACAAAATTGAAGATTACTAATCATGAAGAAATAATGAGATCAACACAAGAATATCAGGCGAATTCCATATTGGAACTTATTTTGGGAAAAAAACATTTTGGGTCCATCTTCTATGCATGATTTACATATCTTTATGGGGGATTTTTACTGTAGTTATTTCCTTTCTTCTTTCCTTCGGAAATTTCCTACATTTTTTTTTCATGATGGGGAAGTAGAAAGCCGAAACGCTCTTTACCAAAAACTAATCTTTTCTAGAAGTAGCCCCTTTCCAATTCGAGAGGTACTTTGTATTGCATCAAGTCACTTACTGAGACGTGCCAGTTTGGTGCTATAACCATAACTTTGGTACAAGTATCCTGCTAAAGTGCTTATTGGTTCCGGAAAAACTGCTTCTGTCCATGACGGTAAGGTATAGCCAAACTCGTTTTCAATAAAAAGGCTGTCAAATATTGACGAAACTCCACTCACAGATGATACATTTTCGCCACTATGCTCTGTAAGGTAGGCGTACAAATCCCTGTACTCCTCATCGATATCTTTATAGAAAGTTTCGTTCACTAAAACGCTGTTCAGTTCTTCGAAATAAGCTTCACATTTGGGTAATGAAAGTATGATATTTGGATCTGAAGGATGAATAGGAATAGGACTCCAAGCGATATCCGGATTCCATTGTTCTGTCGGTGTTGGGGGAAACAGACCTAAGACGTTACATTGGGCTGACATATGAGTCCTATCAACATCGGTTGTTTGAATATGGAGGAAGTCACTGGAGTATGCGCTTGGTAAACTCGCATTATATCTTTCACGTGTATATCGGCCTAGTCTGAAGTGTTGTGTCTTTCCGGTCTGAAATGAATCTGAGTATTTATAATAATTTCTAAACAATCCTAAACATTCCGTTTTTCAGAAATTTCGTGAAACACGAATAGTTGTGCTAGGAATCGCAAGTTAGAAGGTAAGACCTCGTTGATTCTCAGCTCGCAAAAGTTCCGGAGGTTGTCGTTCGTAAGGGGACGAAAGCTGGTTAACGTTTAAATGAATTTCCAAAAACAAATTCCGAAGGTTTTGTTGAGTCTTCGGAGGAAATTAAGACCCTTCAGTTGCTGAAAAATTCGGTAACGAAGATTGAGTCGACTATGAGGAGTTGGTTTCATTATGAAATTTGTTGCCAAAAAATATGCAGAACCTGCCTGCAAAATTCACTTGAAAAATAAAGGAAATACTGTTTTCAGAAGAAACTTTCTAGAACAATTTCACAGATTCTTCATCAAAACTTTACCATTGACGAAAATACCTAGTTATATGTAGATAATCATTCACGAGACTCGTGTGAGTTAAAGCTTAACGAGTTTTTACCTTTTAACGAGCGATTCCTAGACCTATTCATAGTTACTTGAAGTGAATTACTTTTCACGTCACTTCACATTCAAATGTTTTCAAAAAATGTTGAAAATTATGTATTTTATATTTTCACAATAATATTTTTTTAATAAATTGATGAATGTAGCCGTTACTACACTTCGTGGTAAGAGATCATCATGAAAAATGAGAAATGAAACTGCAGTTTCGTTCTATAAGGACATTTTCAAACTATTACGATGAACTTAAAAATAATTGATAATATTAGCCCTTATATCACAACACTACTGTAGGTAATAACATAGGTACTTAACTTAATTGAGTACCTGAATTTTGTTAACCTGTGACAATATGGGTACGCTAATTTGTAACGGTGAGTGAACTAGATCTATTTGATCATTTATAAATCCTCATTATACCTGTACCAAAATTGAATATAGTTTATATTCAGATCTGAATTCACTAAGTGGTCTCGGAGCTGTTCATAAATATGTCTTCTAAAAGTGTACTAAGGGATGAGCCTATTGGAAAACCTGAATTCTGTTTACGAAATTTGTTGTTGAACTGTAAGTAACTCTGGCCTAATCTAATATATCTGAAATGAGATTGTACGGTATGTTGAAGAACATACTCTTTACATCGAATGAAACTAAAATTGAATGATGTGCCGTAGTTTTGTTACTTATTTTCTCTACTGAAATCAGCAAATTCCTTATGCTGTGACGTGGGACAAAATTCGTAATGTTTTTGAATTACTTATTTGGACCTATTTCAACTTCTCTCACCTAACGCTTTATATACAAAGCTACTGGTCTTTTGGGGTTATCTTCTTTATGTATTTTTTTCCGTTCGATAAGATAACTAGGAATGTGTCTTAACAAGTTATTGAAAAATATTAACAATTTTGTCCCATGTCATAGCATTGAAAATAACTGACCAAGCCACACCATATAATTCACAATTCAACAACAAATTTTATAAACAAGATTCAAAGTTTACCAATGGGCTCACCCCTTAGTCCACTTTCAGCAGACCTATTCATGAACAGCTTAGAGACCAACTTGGGTTAAAAGCATATTCATTTTTAGTGATAACAGTCATCACCCACTTTCAGCAGACCTATTCATGAACAGCTTAGAGATCACTGTAGTAAACTCCAACTTGAGTTAAAAGCATATTCATTTTTAGTGATAACAGTCATCACCCGAAGATGATTGTGGATACTTACAATCGAAACGTTGTGAAGTGACTTGGCTTGAAATCTTTTAATTTTCGGTTTTTTTTTTCATTGTTCAATTTTCAATTGTTGCTTGTATTTTCATTTTATTTTAATTCCTTTTCAGGGTTTTTTGCTTAATATAATCGTTATTTTCAGCTATTTAATTTTATTTTATTGATTTTTATAGAGATTTCAAATCATTTCATTCAAAACCCAAACGTTCCCAAATGTGATCTTTCAGTTATCAGATTGCAAAAATGTATGATAATATCCCTTCTGAATTGGAAAAATCGAGTCAAAATTGTTTCAAAGTAACATTTAAGACATTAGTGTCAAAATCAGCACAATTACAGGTAAAATATATGATGGAATTGGCTGATATTTGATGAATATCCATAACTAATGTAGGTATTCAAAGAACACTTTATTGTGAGATTTTCACTAAACCTTTTTACAAAAGCGCAACACGTGTTTCGCCATACATTGGCTTTAAAGACACACCCGAAGAAGCTTGTCATGTGTTGCGTCTTTGTAAAACTTTTTAGTGGAAATCTCACAACAAAGTATTTTTTGAATACAGCAGGTGAAATGTGAAATATATAATTTACTACCAATGTATAAGTGCATACATCCATAATTGATGTTAGGTAAAATCAGGTACGGACTACAAACTCTGATAGTGAAGACAGATCAAGGTTGAGTGGAAGAACAAGTCATCGGTGATATTTTTGCTGAATGAATTGAACTTTGCCATTCATTTTTATTATTTAATTTCTAGATAAAAATGATAAGAAATCATTATTATTATCATATAAGACGATGGAAGTCCGAAATTCAGTTCGAAATTGTCCTGATAGGACGAATCTGCAGCAACTTCAGTGGTAAAACAGTTTCATTTTTCAAACTACAATTTTTCAGTTTCTGTGGATATTTGAATATCTCTACATAACCTATTTCAAATTATTCAAATATATCTGTAACTACAGATCCACGACTGGATTTTCAAGAGCAAAATATGATTTTCGAAATTACAACTCCACACTTACATTTGTGAGTTGTCCTGGTGCTACTGGCCAATATTCAGAAGCTGAATAAGGATCATTGGCATAGTGAGTTATTGGAGTTCTTTGGCCATGACGATATACCTGTGAAAAAAAAATTAAAAAGGTAAAACAATCAAAATAAAATCACCTGACTTTAATAAAGTTCCATTGATGTGCTTGTGCTCATTTAGGAACAAACTCTACCTGAACTACAGAAATCAAAGTGGATGTTGCCAAAATTGGTGTGATGAGAGTCACAAGGAGGACTAGAATATTAACTAGCATGATAACTGTTGAATTCAAATCACTTCTACAGCAGACTCCACAACTGTCTCAATTTTTTTTTGTTATATTTATATAATTTCGAACATGGTGTGTGGAGTCATATAAAAAAGATCGTATCAGGATTAATATTCATAAACTGCCAGTAATCAATTAGGATCTTTTAATTTTGTCAAATATTATCAAAGAGATTAGCCACTTTTATTATTTCCATAAATCATTTTCGACATCATAAATTTTTCAGACAATATGCGTTCAGTTTTTGGTTTGATTTGATGAACATGGAGATATAACTTCGTTTTATATGTTCATTTCAATGATTCATGTGGTAGGTATGTTATATTCTACTTGCACTGTTGTAAGCAAAAAATTCAATCTATTCGAACTCAGTTAGTTTCACCATTGCGATCAACGAAAATACGTTGCAATTGTGAAGCAATACGTAGCAATAGTTCGAAACCAGAATACAAATACAAAGAATTCGTGATCCAACACCTGTCTGGACACACTATAGGTTATAACCTAGTGATGTAAGGCTGTCCTCCGAGGCCATTCTGGCTGCTTTGCGTAGGTTTATTGCCCGTAGAGGCACCTGCTTGAACATATACTCAGATTATGGTTCTAATTTTATAGGTAGTGAGTCATATTCACTTCAGATATCTGCAAAATCCGCTAGATCTGAGTTTATCTCATGGAATTTCAATCCCCCTTATTTCCCTAACATGGGCGGAATTTGGGAGGCTAACATAAAATCTTTCAAAACTCATCTCATACGTATCGTTGGCAATCAAATTCTCACATATAAGGAATTCAACACCGTAATCATTCAGATAAAGTTAGCGATGAATTCCAGACCATTGTGTTCTATCAGTACAGACCCTATTGATTTGGCAGTGCTTACACCTGCTCATTTTCTGACATTCTCACTCTTTCAGCTTTACCGGATCCTGATGTATCTCAGTTGACGATCAATCGTCAATTATTACAAAGACTACATCGTGACTTCTGGAAACGATGGCGCCTTGAATAGTTATATCCCCTACAACAAAGATATAAATGTACCAAACCATTCGAAACAATTACTACGGGAACCATGGTTGCTATTAAAAATGATAATGGTACTGACGGGGTCCCTCGAGTTGCTATTGTGAAAACTACAAAAGGTCTTATCAATAGACCTTGAGTTAAATTATGTCCTCTTTCTGATTCCGATAACCAGTTCTGAAAATGAGCTTAGTATTTTCAGGGGGGTGGGAAATTGTTCATTACCAAACATCACATTTTTATTTTTTTTTATTATTATTTTTGTTTCACACTTGTAAATATGATTCAGGTTGCATTTACAATTTATGCGATCAAATAATTTAAATTGTTGTTTTCGAGAACCTTACTTTGATGAAATCCTACTACTTATTCCTACTATTCAAATCTACTCATGCCAATCCTGTCCTTTTTTTTTGTTTCCCCGAATTGGTCGTTCCGAAATATATTCAAGGGGAGAAGCAGAGAGACGAAAAACCTTCTTCGTCGTGATCGGGTGTAAAAACTGCAATACAATTACGTCGTGGTGCGAACCCACAAAGTTACATGTGCGAGTTTTCCTTGTCTACTAAGGAACTTTCACTCCTACAATACATCCTTGTGCCATACTGCATCAAACAAGGTGAGTTAACTTATTCATCTTGTGATTGATTTTTTATTCGTACTTTCACGCAAAGTTTGAGATCAAAACAAATTTTAGTTGTGAATCTGTGTCCCTATTTCATACACCGCTTTAAAATCGTTCATATTATGTACATGTATGAACACTTTTGATTGTTTATTTCAAACAAGCACTCTTATGTGTTAAATGTATCAACTGAAACCACAAATGTGCGGTTGGCTCCTGCTGGTGGCTCCGTGCATTTGTATTTCTATCTTTTGGTAACCAAGTGTTGCCCATCCTTACACTTGGCTGCACCATACTGATGATGGGCCAAAAGCCCGAAACACGTGTCTATGGTTTGCCACTTTCTTGAGTGCTANCTAGGATATATATGAATCCTTTGGAAATAATCCAAGAAAGATCAATTCGGTTAATTCTCAATAAACCCCTCAGATTTTCTTTCAATACCTGTATAAAGAGTCAATTTTTTTATATTGGACAGCTATATTTTCTATGTGTACACGTTAGATTGTAACATCCGTTGTCGTAGATTGAAACGGGTTACTTTGTTACTTAGGAACTAAATTATGGGTTGCCGGAACTCAGCGGAGAGGGATGGTGGGTAAATATAAGTCCACTTGGAGGATGAGTGTATTGTTTCTTTAAACACGCCAGGCTTATGGTGATTACAGGCTTATGGCTTTATGGCTTTGGGTTCACAGATATGAATGTAAGCAACTTATGATTAAACTTAAGGTGTGGTAAATACTTGGCTTATTCTATAATTCGCAATTTGTGCCGCAATGTTGGGATGGGAGCTGTTGGGATGGGAGATATAGTACCTATAGCTCCCATCTTTTTTCTTGATGAGTAATATAGGGAACGCCCATGGTGATTGAAAAGGCTCAATTACTCCGTCCCGAAGCATCTTTTCAAGCTCCTGATTACCTTGTTGATGCAGGGAATGCCGGAGAAGGGGTAATATCGCTGGCGGATAGGTGGATGATCCGTGCGAATAACATGTTCGACCAGATTCGTGCACCCTAATCTATCCCCCATCTTCTGAAAAGTCTCTTCAATAACTTCATTCAAAGTCTGTAGCTGTTCCATAGTGAGGTAATCGTTTGAGGCTAGTGCCATAGTGGAAGGTTGTAGCACATGTTTATCATTCCTGAAACACCATTCACCCGAAATCATATCGGGGACAATCTTCATAGCTCTCCAGAAATCCATCCCTAGTATCAGTGAATGAGGTAACGATGGTACCACAAATACATCCAGAACCTTGACCCGATCATATAACTTGAACGGAACGGAAACAGTTCCTGATATTGAGCACGACAGTCCATTTGCAACAGTACACGTTGATTGGGTCGATTTCTTTAATGCGCAAATAGACTTCAGGATGTTCCAACCGGGACCCCCTATTATTGTGCCTATGCAGCCGCTGTCCAATAACCCAAGAAAAGAACCTCCGAAAATTAAAACCTTCAGGTAGGGTCTGGTGTCATCTTTAGCGTGCGCAAGTACGTAGTCCAAGAGTATTTTTGGGTGTTCGGCCTCAGGGGATTTCATCGGCAACAGTCGGCCTACTGTTGACCCCGTCTCCCGTTTTTTATACAATGTGGGCAAGAACTGGCGATAACATTATCCTTTCCACATCTAAAACAGAATTTTTTTCTTGGCTGTGAACAAGACCTGAATTTATGTTCGGTGCTCCCGCAATTCCAACATATTGCTGAGGAACAGACTTTTGTGCTTGTTGGGGGCGTTTCTGAGGTCTCGTTCCGGTCCTCTCTTCGGATGTTCACTGCAGCTACATTCAATTGGTTCTGTGGTTTTTTATAGGCTAACTCGGGTTCTAGAAGATTCCGGTAACTGGTTGGTGGTGGTACAAATTTTTGTGTTCGCATTTCCGTTTCTTCGATCATACGACAGAGACGAGTCAGGTCAGAGATAGTAGACATCTGTTGAAGGGCAAGCTGGGTTTGCAGGTATGGCAGTNACAATGTTGAATTTATATATGGGATGAATGTAAACAATCTACATTAATCAATAGGAACCATTGTCAGAAACAACCTAAACATGAAACCTGGAATAACACACGTTATGGGCTCAGCGGAGAGGGATGGTGGGTAAATACTTGGAGAATAAGTGTATTGTTTCTTTAAACACGCCAAGCTTATGGTGATTACAGGCTTATGGCCCAGAAGTATACTTTTGGGTTCACAGACATTAAACTTTAGGTGTGGTAAATACTTGGTTTATTCTAGAATTCGCAATTTGTGCCGCAATGTTGATTTGAGGTCGTGCGGGAGGGTGTAATACATAACAGGAAAGACCTTACATGCATGGAATATGGGAGAATAGTCTCCAGCAGCACGATCCAACCCATATACGCAGTCCACTCAGGCAATGATCTTTTCCATGCAGATAACTTGCTCCCCGGAAGACCGTAATCAGAGATATAAGGGGTGTAGTGGTCTAGCCTTGCGAGAGATACACCAGGATATAGTTCACAATATCGACTTGAGATGGTAATAAGAAGGCCTAAAATAAGGTTAAGGTTTAGAAGGATAAACCCTTTAGGGTATCTTCGTAAAGTGGGTTCTTACCGTAGTTGTTGTGTGGCCTGAAGATTGGAATTTGACAAGAGAACGGGTACTTAATAAAAATCCCCAATACTGTGGGCGAGTTATTCCTTTAGATAACCCAAATATAGTCATTCCCGTATTGAATATTTTGGTTTCTTCAAATCCACAAAGTGATGAGCTCATAATTCTTGCTCCAGAGAAGATAACCAAACTCAACTGTCATTCCCACAAAAAAACCCTTTTCTTTTTCCTTTCCTTTTTTTCCCTATCAACGTTATTTAAGGTCGAATTATTCTGATTGTCTTTAGGCACAAAAAACTGAACTGAATTGTTTTGACTGTTATACAGGGTGGATGCTGTGCATAAATATATGATTTCAGTACATTACTTTTCTGTTATCTTATAAATCCACTCTTGCATTTTGGGAACCGTAACAAGATTTCATTTCTGTAACTGAGAACCAGCTAAGCCAGAACACGAATACAGCGTGATTCACGATCGATGGTAGGTTAGACGTTTCTGGAAAACGCAAAGCATGATTGGTCTGAAAATTTCACCTCTCACATTTCCTTACCTGTTCTATCGATTTAAAATATTTTAAGCATTGCTGCGTTGCCACTTCTATCAAAAGGTCCTAGCAACTTTATGTTTTTAAATGGAACACCTCGTATATTATTACATTTTTGGAATTGCTCTAGTATTTTAATACTTTTTGTATTCATGCATTAATTTCATTATCCCAAATTTCAATTTTTTGAGTTGACCCGTTCAAAAAATAAAAGGGAGAGGACATTGAAGAAATGCACTATATA